GGGGAGAGGAACAGCAAACTGTTTAGAATGTTGGAGGCGAGACTCAAGCAATGCAGCCAGTGGATAGGGACAGATTCTGAGTGACACATCAGGGCGCCAACCAATTCCGGAGCGTGTGGAATGTTCTAGAGAAGTGCCACCACCGTTCGGCACTAAGCCTCTGAATCTCAGAGCCAGGAGCTGACATCAGTGGAACTTAAGGCCTTGGTCTCTATGCCCTTGGTGTTGGCCATCCAGAGGAACTGGTTGGACACTGAGAGAGGACTAGATGGACCATTGGTCTGATCCAGCAGGGCTCTTCTTATGTTCTTTGCCAGACCCAAATGCATTATTCTGTGTACAGCTATAGCCATAGTTGATTTTACCAGTGAACCTATACCTACACTGTGGGTGCCTTTCCACTCACATACTCAGTGCAGTTCCTGTGCATTAAGGTAGATGTGCATGGTATTATATGTCCCATGCAGCCCCCAAAACACTAGAAATGATGACTGCATAGGGCATATACTGCAATATACTGTGTGCACATATACTCCAGTGTCCATAAACTGTACATCTGAAAAGTCAGTTATTTAGACCATGTGTTCAGAGCATATCCACCCTACTTTACCATTTAAGAAAGTTGGGAATAGTGACAGGCAAGATCAGATGCTCAAAGAACAGTAGATCAGGCAAGATCAGATGCTCAAAGAACAGTCATATATAGAACAATCATGACTTTCTACACAGAACTATTGCTACTCAGGCTTTAACTAGAATCCTTTTGAATGGTTTCTGAGAAATATAAATTCTGTAGTGACATCACATGCATGTAAAAATTACTTGCTCAGTCAGAAAGGTCCAAATAAATCAGTGAAAACGTTTCTCATTAATCTGTGGTCCATGGTCTCAGAATGGTTCATCCAATGACAATGGTTTCTTTGTACTGACTTGATGCCTGTGACTGCCAATAGCTGCTTTCACAATGGTGTTTAGGAACACCTTAGTATTCCCAGGGGAGGAAAGGCAGACTCTACATCCCACTATATGCATCTCAATTTGGATATAAACCACATAATACATATTAGCAGGAAAGAGGTTACATTCCATGATTCCCTGGAGGAACTGAGGCTAAGAATTCAATATACCATGAACCAGCACTAGTGTCTATAAAGCTTCCCATTAACTCAGATCTGGAACATGAATCTTTCCAACTCTACTGGTTTAAATTTGTTGGTTCAGTTAATAGCAACCTCAGCAAGAGAAATGCAAGACATTTAGTAGACAGGGCTGAACACTTTTCAGCATTCAAGTCTCAGCCAGTGATGTCTTTTTGTTGCGTCAGGTTAATGCAGAAGTGGTATTTCAAACAATTCAACCTGGGAAAAGACATGATTACAGACAAATGAACAGTAAATCAGTTTGTAGACCAGTTAACTTAGAGTTCTGGTTAAGAATGCTGATTCTGTTTAAAGCTTATCAGTGTTCCTATCTATAAATATGCATTTAGTGCCATGGGACCCAATAGATGATAGGTGCTAGAAAAAAGATTCTCAAGAGATGGAGAGAACTACAGTATTATTTTAAAAGAAGATATTACCCACATGTTCAAAAACTCATTGAACAAGACCTAAATAATATGGTTTGTCATGATTCATGTTAGCACCTTTCCTACCAGACCTGGACTGGGGGAGCATTTTTACCTCTGCTTCTTTTATGGGTGGAGCACAAGTCATCTTTGGGTGGTACACAGTGTTATAATATACTACAAAGATGGAAAGTGTAGACTAGAGTGAATAGTCTGAAACTGGCCATGGGCCCTGCTGACACTGAAGAACCTCTCTCTAGATACTCTCTAAATACCAGCAAACAGACATGGGGATTTCTTATACAATTGTAATAACTCTACCAGATGTATACATTATCACTTATTACGTAACTGATCAGTTACATTATCAGTTATACATGATCAGTTATTAAGTAAATACCAGCAGTATGCCAATCAACAGAAGGGATTAATTATACGAGCTAGTAACTTTCTGTTGTGTAGTTATCAATGGTTATAAACTGTCAATTATTCAAATATAAAAAATAGGCTACCTAGTACCATGTTCATAAAGAGATCAGTCCTGTAGTAAACTTAGAATTGGTCAGAAGGATATTTTTAGAAAGAAATAATGGTTGTAATTCATGGCATTATTTGTTATATTTATTTTATTTATTTTGTATTAACTTCCTTTTTACTTCACCTTTCTCCTCAGTAGGGACCCAGAGGGGCTTAGGTTGTTCTCTTCTCCTTTTCTTCTTTACAACAACCCTGTGAAGTCGGTTAGCCAAAGACTGTGTGATTGGCCCAAGGGCACCCAAAAAGCTTCCATGGGAGAGTGGGGATTTAAACCTGGGCTGCCCAGATCTTGTCCAACACTCTAACCACTACACATACCACATGCCTTTCCTGGTTTTACTGCACTATTTGCTAATTTCTGTAATCCAGTTTTTTGAATTTCTGCTTCATGTTATATTTCCTGTTGCATTTTTTCTAACTTGTAATCCAATTTTATTACAATGCTTATTATATGTCTTGAACTGATTCTATTGCATTGATTTTGTAATCTGCCCTGAGTCTTAGTAGGAGAGGTGAACTATAAGTCTAGTAAGTGAATAAATCCACTGATTCCCACTCTCAAGTATAGAATGAGTGTTAACCGATAGGAGCTGAGGAAGCGCTGCTCCAGGTCAGCCAGGAAAATGATGGTGTATTGTGGGGCCACGTGAGTGCCCATGGCTGTGCCATTGATCTGAAGGAATAAATCATCACCAAATGTACAAATACAAATGCACTGCCTAACACGGTGCCCTTCCACTCTCTACATCAGACCAAAAGGTCAGTCCCTACACCAAAGAATAAATGGGCATCAATCTCACATCAAAAATCACAACGCTTGAAAACCAATGGGAGAACATTCTAATATTCTATGACATTGCATTACTGACCTAAGAGTGGCAGACCTCAAACAGAGAAGCTTCAAGGGGAGATTACAATGTAAGATAGCAAAACTTGAGTTCATTCACAAGTTCAGAACAATGGACCCCCAAGGGTTGAATAGGGACATAGGATTCTTATCTCACTACTGATGCTAATTTTTTTGTCCCTGCTCTAATTGAGCTGATTACATTTTGCACTGTACCTCTGTATCATGACTCCTTTCTTTGCAACATCCCTCCCATCCTCAGACTGGGATATAAGGACTCAGGGATCCCCATTCCTACTTGTATCTGATCAAGGGAGCTTTGACCATTGAAAACTCATGCCTCAAAAATCTTGTTGGTCCCTAAGATACTGCTGGACTTGAATCTAGCTGTTCTACTGCAGACCAGTTTAGCTACCATCAGAAATTATTTAATTCAGCTTTGTGAGAAAATGTTTTTTTCTGAAAAAAGCAATCATTTAGATAAAGTCCCTTCAACAATTTTAGGAGAGGGCTATTAAAATGTGATAATGTAGATAAGAATGTGCCGTGACCTGGATAGCCCAGGCCAACCCGATCTCATCAGATCTCGGAAGCTAAGCAGGGTTGGTTCTGGCTAGTATTTGGGCAGGAGACTTCCAAGGAATACCAGGGTCATGACACAGAGGCAGGCAGTGGCAAACCACCTCTGAACGTCTCTTGCCATGAAAACCCCATGGGGTCACCATAAGTCAGCTGTGACTTGACAACATTTTCCACTGCCACCAGATAGAATGTAGAAAAAAATGTAGATAATATGGTTGGTCTTTGGGGATATTGAGATGTGAGACTGGTAGCAATCCTAAGCAGGTCTAGTCAGAATTAAGTCTCATATTATTCAGTGGGGCGTACTCTCAGGAAAGTGCCCTTAGGATTGCAGCCTTAGAAAGCAGTATGTTCATTTGGAGAAATTAAAACTCTTGAAATTGCAGCTAGATTTCCTAGGGAAATCGTTACTCAAGACTGAGGAAATAATTGCAAAATTAAATTTCTCCAGCAGGTTTTCCATATGCCTAATTAAAG